GGCAGCTGGCGTCGCGCAGGGCTGGTCGGCGGGGAGGGCTACGCGGGCGGCGGCGCGGCGCAAACCCTAGGCCGCCGCTCCGTCGCGGATGGAGACGAACCGGGAGAGGAGAGGAAAATCGAGGGAGGAAAGTGCGAATATACGCTCAGTGGCAGACGTTCCGTAATTTACTCTCGAGTCTAGGGGCATTTTTGAAATAATTGGAAACATAACCTGCGCACCCCCTCTCTTAGCAGCAAGATAATTTCCCACGGGAACAAGAAAAAATATTGTTTACGGGTGAAAAAAAAATATTAGCTTAGAAACATGTCCCAAGGGAAATTTCTAGGCCGGACATCGGTTTTCTTACCTCCACAAAATATATTTTTAGATGGACAAGAAAACATAATACTGAATTGTGTGCGTACGATGAGAAACAACTTGCTATACTATTGGGGTTGTATGTTGATCTTTCCTCTTAAACCAAACAACCATAGGCATTTCAAGTATAACTGAATTATGTGCACTCAATGAGAAACAACTTGTGCTTATCATTTTGTAAGAACCCGAAAGCTTCTTTGATGGAGTGCACCTGTCTTATGAGATTTTGTGAGAATCTAAGAGCTTACTTAATATATTGTGCTATCTCATTTTGTGAGCGACTCCAATAGCTCCCCTATCCATAGAAAAACTGATGTTTACGGGAGTTGGAGCAAACCTCTCTAACAGTTCCGTAAACCATCTAAAACTATTTTAGGGGGTCATATAAACCTCTCTAATGGCCACTGCACCGCCTCACGCCATCCCTTGCTGGCGGCTGTCACACGTGCCACTGATTGGCGGGTCCTAGGCTATTATCTATTTTTTGTTTAATTAAAAATGAATTTAGGGGAAGAAATTTACGGGAACTGACAAAAGTAGCACTCGGACAACTTCCACTAAATTTATAAGTTTCTTAAGTGAGCTGTTGGAGTTGCTCTTAGACTCTGAAATATGTGTTGTGCACTTGTGATTGTTGGATATTGTTTGGATTGTTAGTCTCAAAATGGTCTCTTTTTTTCCTGTGGTATTGTCGAGAGGACCTGATATGGGCATGTACATCAAGATTGGCGTGTGTTTCATCAGCGAATGACGTGTGGAGCTGTCTCTCCAACGGGTCTCCTGGGACCCGATCGGTTTGTGTTTTCGTGGATCCGTCTATATTTAGCCGGCTTTTGTGGTCTATGTGGTCTTTGGAGTTTCTACATGCCCTTATTGGCTTATTGGATGTTTCTTCCTCTGGGGCGGCGATTTGTTTCATGGATCTGAGCCACCGGTGTTTGTGGTCTGCATCGATGACTTCCGGTCGTTGCTTCTACAAACTCCTAGGTTTCAAAAGCTTGCCCTGCTATGGGGGAGGCCCAGATGCGGCATCGAGCTATGCTCATGACGCAACACCGATGGATGCAGGTGGTGGAATACTTCGGCACGTTAAAGATATTGAATAAATATCTATTTTCTTGTAAGGGTGTGTTTGTAAGGACCTGTGATAGCTGATATATATATATATATATATATATATATATATATATATATATATATATATATATATATATATATATATGACTTTAGACATTTTCGCAAAAGGTGTGGCCAAGTCTCAGTCGACTGAGACTTAGCCAAGTCTCAGTCAAGTGACATAATATAAGAAGAAAAAAGAAAAGACTTGAAGGAAAAAATTATACAAATTCCCATGCAAAATCAAAGGAATATAGAATCGACTGAGACATGAGACATAACGAAGTCTATCGACTAAGACTTAGCAAAACTGTTTTGTGAACATCAAACACATAGTGCTCACTACTTCACTCCCTTCGTTTCTAAATATAAACCATTTTCGATATTTCGATATAGACAACATACGGATGTATATAAACATATTTTAGAGTATAGATTCACCCATTTTAATGTAGTCCATGCTGGAACCTGTAAAATGTCTTATATTTAGAAACGGAGGGAGTACATAACTCAAATTAGAAACCTCAAATCCATATTATTACATGCAACGTAGTGATCTTTAAGCGGAGCTCGTCCGGCCGCCGCGGCCATGTCCGGCGGCCGGCTGTGCTCCCCAGAGTGTTGACCCGATCGCCGACAAGGTAGAGTAGGGCATGGGAAACGTGTCGGTTCACGGGATTCAAGGCGCCGCCATCTCCCATGCCCTACTCTTCCTCGTCGGAGCCCGGAACCCGTTGGCTACCAGTGGACGTCAGATCGATGATGGATCTGTCCTGGGACGAGCCGCCGATGTCCACCACGATGCGGTTGCGGCACTCGGACTCCTGCACCATACGGGGCGCCGGAGAATGTGACTCCGCCTTGCCAACGTCGACTGCCGCGAGGGCTGCCGCCACCTTCCGGGCCCGCTGCCTCACGCGGCGGGCACGCCATGCGATGTCATTGTCGGATGAGGCTCATGGCGCGTCTCGATGCTCAACACGTTAACGGAGGGGTTGCGCGTCCGCCACCGCGTTCAGATGCCAGGCGGACCTCACCGCCTCCGGCGAGGCAGCGACGGCACACCTAGCACCGGATCCTTGCGCCATTTGGGTGGACACAATGGATTCCCGGCGGAAGGAGTCCGAGCATTGCCGGGCACGAGCCTCTTCCCGGGAGTGGCGGAGCACAAGCCGGACGGCCATCTCCTCCTCGGGACCGCGTGGGATGAGTTCAAGGTCGATGGATCTGAAGATGAAGGACTCGGATTCGACACCCGCCATGCCAAAGAGTGCCCCTTGCTCGTCTGGTCAACATGTGTGTCTTTGCACAACATGTACACGCGCATACACTCACCCCTATGAACGCACACACGCACGTCCTACCCTTATGAGCACCTCCGAAAGACTGAGCCGGCATATCATCCTGAAATTTACGAAGTCACCATAGGCACCTCGTCGTCGACCGGAACGTCTCCTCCCACTGAATGCGCATCGCCGAAAATCTTGAAATAAATGCGAGCACCAGGATTTGAACTCTGGTGGACGGGGATACTGTCGTGGTTCTAAGTCTGACAGTAGAATGGGGGGTAGGTATGGAGAGGCAAGATCCTAGCTATGGAGTAGTTGTACACATGAGTGTTTAGCGAGTTCAGGCCCTTCTCGGAGGAAGTAACAACCCTACGTCTCGGAGCCCGGAGGCGGTCGACTGATTTCTATGTATATGAGTTACAGGGGTGCCAACCCTTCTACCAGTGGAGGGGGGTGGCTTATATAGAGGACGCCAGGACCCCAGCCATCCCACGTAGCAGAGGATTAAAGTACATTAAGGCCAGGCATTACTGGTAACGCCCTACTTAAAGTGTCATCATGACCATTAAGACTACTTAATTACAGACCGTTTGGATGCAGAGTAGATCCTGAACTCCTGATGGTCGAGTGGGTCTTGATGGTCGAGTGTCTTCAGGTTTGTCGAGTGTCTTCTAGCCGGTCGAGTGGAGTCTCTCTTGGTCGACTGGAAGGTAGCTTCGTCTAAGGATGTCCTTGGGCATGGTATCCATGATAGGTCTATGACCCTACCCTAGGTACATATCCTCATCATTAGCCCCCGAATGGATCGAGGTTCGAGTGAGGAAGGAGTTGATGATTTTCTCCGACTCATTTCTTGCGCTTTGATTGTGTCGTATCTTGGATTGGCGATTTTTCTTTCGGTGTCGGCGTCAACTTTTACTTCAGTCGCCTTGATCCATTCTTATCTTTTGTCGAGTGAACTTTTGAACTTTGGAGAACTCCCGAGTGACGGATCGCGGGAAAGATATTGTCTGACAGATTGATCTGCTGCTAGCGGATTTTGCGGGATCTGAAATTTGGGAAGCGCGCGAAGCGGGGCGGTCCGCGACAATCGGACGGGATAAGGCGTGGACGCCTCGATTTCTGCGCCGCCTTTTTCGCCACGTATCGTGCGTGCGCGACTGTTTCGGGATGTGACAGGATCGCTCGGACCCACTCGTCAGCCACTCGGAAACGCCCTTATATAAAGCGCCGGGGGAGGGTTTTTTGAATAGTGCCTTCCCATTCTTCTCTCTTCCCTCTCTGCCTTCGCCCACTGCGCCTGCTCCCGGCTCCGCCTATCCACCTCTCGCGCGCTTCACCGGCAACAATGGTGAAGGAGAAGACGGTGGCCCTAGAGCGCGCGAAGAAGGCGACGGCGACGGGGCAAGCGAAGGGGAGACCGTCCAGTCGGGGCGGATCTTCGTCGAGGTCCCGCCTGCCGAAGGGTTGGGTCTAAGGGGATTGGATCCGCTCGACCATCACTGAGAAAGATCTCAATGACCTGGTCAATGAGGGACTGATCCCCCACGGGTCAGCGAGGCTCCCGGGGTCCGAGTGTCAACCGCAGCCGCAGGAGGGTGAGTGCGTTCTCTTAGCCACTCACGTAGATCGTG